CTTCCTCAATTGTTTACAATTTTTCAGCATGTTTACAATATCTCAAACTAGCTAGTTGTAAAAATTCGTCTAAGAATATATGTTTACCGTTGAAGACAATCACGCAATCGCTTATATAACTTGCACACATAGAAAGATGACTTTTATTTTATAGTACTGCAATATACGTATAACATTACTATTAATGCTACTAAAATCATGGTTATCGATTTATCATACAAGATACTGTTTCTTATGTTATATACAATAGATTCCTAGTACCTATGATGATAAATTCGACGGTTGTGAATACCGTTAGAAAAATCCATAGTAAAATAACAAAAGCAAATTAATAAAATTGTAGTAGTCTAGCATAAGAATCTAGATTAGTTGTAATTTTTATATTATCCTAGCTAGTGATCCTTATGTCAAACACTATTTTAATTCCTAATCAACTACATGTGCATGTAAAGTCAATTCTTACTGGTCCCTGAAATATAGATTTCCACCTGAGAATTCCGAGGGTTAGATCAATTGAATAACCCCATATACCACAACTAATGCCTTTGTGGTCGTGCATGATCAGTTTTATAGTCAAAGAAATAGAAATCGGATTTGGTTTTAGTTTGTTGTGGATCCCATCATGTTCTCCCCACTCATGAACCAAACTACTCGATTCATAACCTATTCAATTTATGTTTGTGTTTCTCATTTTCTATAAATAGAAAATCTCAATGCATACAAAGCCATCATACTCTCTCAATATCATCTCTTTTTGCATCTCTCTCTTAACCCCCACCCCTCAAAAGTCACCTTTCTTCTTCCTCTGCTATGGCGACTTTGATCCTTAAGCAATCTCTAATCATACTCCTAATCATATTTTCATCACCAATCTTAAATTCTCAAGCTCGAATCCTCCGTTCATATCGCGCCGTGTCCATGGGCAATGTGGATAGTCAGGTTCTCCTACATGAACTCGGGTTTGATCTCTCTAAGTTCAAAGGTCATAACGAGAGGCGCTTTTTAGTGAGTTCCGACAGGGTTTCACCGGGAGGTCCCGATCCGCAACACCATTAAATGGTCGTCACATATATAAATACTTTACCGAAGATCCAAGCACAAATAATGTGACGACTGATCCATCATCCATGCAAGTCATATGATTATCGCTATTTCTATGTTTTTCTTTCCTCTCTTTGTTTTTCATAAAACCTTATACGTACAATTTTGTTGTATCAAGGTTTTGGTATTCTTGTACCACCTTACCTTGACACACCAAGCTTTTTCTATGTATGTTTTCTGTGTCTCCAACGAGTTACCTTTTATGTAACAGCCATTGGCTAATAATTAATGTTCCCCGGGTTTTTTCGTTTGAGTTTTACCCATTTCATTTGAAAGATAGAGGAATATAATGATTGGACGTCTTAGCACTTCAAAATGCAAACGATTTTTTTATTTTATTTTTGCTAAGACAAACGATTAATTTTTGTGATTAGATGTTACTATGCAAGGTTTTAGAAGGTTAATTCGAGATTTAGAAAGATACAAATTTTGAAAATCTTATCTAGATGTTATTAATATGTTTTGAATTATATCAATTTTGCACTTTCAACTTAGATGATTTTACCCAAAAAAAATCTTAGATAATGAATAATTAGTAAGAGACAGTAATAAATTGTTTTCGACATTAGAAAATGCATTTTTTCATCAAATATTAAAAAACTTTAATGGGTCCAGTTGTAAAAAAGAAACTTATGAATTTAAGTTACTCGCGCTATCCTCAGAATTTTTGTTTATCAATGGTCTAATGTACTATCCAGTGAAAAATTATATATACATGTTCAAGAGTTTTGAAATATAGAATAAATTGTAGTTATTATCCTTAAGAGTTTTGCTTTAGTTTTGCCAAGGGAAACAAGACTCTGTAAAGAGCTCAAGAAAAATCCATGAGAAACAACAAAAGCAAATAAATGAATTCGATTATATATATACATATAACCTAGTAGTAGTGTAGCATAAGAATCTAGGTTAGTTGTAATTTTAATATTATCCTAGTGAACCTTATGACAAATTCTTAATCAACTGTATATGGATGTAAAGTCAATTACTATACTGGTCCCTGAAGTATAGATTTCCACCTGAGAATGTCGATCGTTAAGGGTCAACTAAATAACCCATATCGTAAATAATGTTTTTGTGTGTGCATGCATGAATTTTTTTTTTTTTTTTTCAACTCATACATGAGTTTTATAATCCAAAATATGAGTCGGATTTGGCTTTCATTAGTTTCTGTTGTGGATCCCATCATGTTCTCTCCACTGGCCCAAACTAATCTATCCTTAACCTGTTCCCGTTGCATGTTTGTGTCTTTAATTATCTATAAATAGAAAATATCAACACATACAATTACAAATCATCATACTCTCTCAGCTTCATCTCTTTCTCTCTCTCTCAATCTCTGCAAATCCCACAAATCACTTTTCTTTTTCTTATTCACCTTTTATGGCGAATTCTATCCTTAAGCAATCTCTAATCATACTCCTAATCATATTTTCATCACCAATCTTGACTTCTCAAGCTCGAATCCTCCGTACATATCACCCCACGGCCATGGGCAAGATGGATAGTCAGGTTCTTTTACGTGAACTCGGGATTGATCTCTCTAAGTTCAAAGGTCATAACGAAAGGCGGTTTTTAGTAGATTCCGAAAGAGTTTCACCGGGAGGCCCTGACCCACAACACCATTGACTGACCCTTATAGATATATGTATACTTTACCCGAGATCGATCCAAGCACAAATAATTGTGACTGATCCATGCAAGTCATTTGAATATCGCCATTTATATGCTTTTCTTTTCTTTTTCATAAATCTTACGTACAATTTTGTTGTATCAAGGTTTTTGGTATTCTTGTATACCTCCTTATCTTTATACATCAAGCTTTTTCTCTCTATGTTTTCTTGTGTCTCCAATGAGTTACCTTTTATGTAACAACGATTGGCTATCTATTTAATGTTCCTCTGTCTTTATCTTTTGAGTTTTACCTTTTCCATTTGTAGCTAGGAAACAAACAAAGATAGACCTAGAGGATATTTTTAAAAGATAATGATTGAAATCTGCACTTCAAAATACATATGACCCAACGATTAGTTTTTTTTTTTTTTTGTGATTTGATGGCCAAAATATTAATTTAAAATTTATAAAATTCAAAGTTTTAGTAAGAAGCGTGAACTCGAATATTTTGTAAACTTACTCAAATGATATGTCATCCAGAAAAACTTATTTAATTAAGATTTAAAGAAAATTGCTTTTCAGCAGAAATTATATATATATATATATTATTTATATATATATATATATATCTATATAGTGGTTGATGATAAACAAGACTATGAAATTGTAAAATCAGTTTGATGCACTCTTTCAAAAATAATTTTTTGCCGACATCAACTACATGTTGGATATTTTGAGAGGTTAAAATTATAAACTTATAAACTAGACAAATTAAAACTATTCTCCGTAAAAAGATTATTCTCTACAGTTCTTTTCTACGCGCGCAGAGATATATTCTTTTCTCTTGACTTCATTTGAATGTACTTTATCATCAATCAATAATATCCCTTGACATTCTCATATTAGTCTTGGAACGTTCTGCCACCAGTTGAAAAGATTAGTGTTTGATGACCTATGACGACAAGATAAGTAAGTATATACCTTTTGTAGAAAATAAATAAAAAATCTGCCAAATAACTTGTTTCAACAAAATTGATTTTGGACCTAGTACTATTGGTAGATACATCAATACATATATACTCTCTTTTTCATGGCAACATGATAAACACTTTTTGTGTTTTGCAATGTTTTAAGACCTTTGACCCAGACCGACCAATTGGATCGATAAAATTGGGACCTAGTGATTATTCTGGTATGGATATATTGGTAAAACCTAAAACTTATCGAACCCCGCTTATGATCGGTGAATCGTCAATAACATGTTATCTGGTCGAATAACGATTAAAAAGTTGTTTTAAATTATTTAGAACGTTTAATTTTAATCACTTACTACACCTATATGATTTGGTTTGACCTAAAATTTATTAAAAATCTAATTTAATTGGGAATTTTTTTTTAACTCATTTAATTTTCTACGCCCGCCCTTTTGTGAATTTAATTTACAACTACAATGACTTTGTTTTTTTAATAAACATTGAGAGTTCGAGACCTTCGAACCATAATCTATTTCATTATTTAGAATCAAACTTTAGATATTCCAATTTTAAAGAATAGTTCTCTGTATCATAATGACTTCTTTTGGGAAAATAAAGCAACAATGAAGATAATACATAATATATCTATATTTATATTTAAATTTTATTTAATATATTGACCCGTAGGCTTGATTGCCTCACTAAACATTGCTTTTGGGATGTATGGATGGGGTATAAAACATGAAATGGTTGGTTGAAATTTTAGATATTATTATATAATTATTAAAATAAACGAATTTATCATGAGAAAAGATTAGTTGAACAAATGTCACATTCAGAAAATGGGCCTGACACCCCTTGTTATCCGTGAATAAATAAGAATGCAGGAATACATAAAATGGGCCTCGTTCACTTGTCTTCTACGGCAACATGATTGTTAATCCAATTAGTAAACCCACTTCTCTAATAATAATAGCTCACAGGACAACAATACTCCTCACTTTTATCTCTACAGAAAAAAACCATTCCAAAACAAAATCAATATTTTCACACAAATATACATTGTCTCAAATATACACAAATATTTTCACACAAATATACATTGTCTCAAATATACACAAATATTTTCACACAAATATACATTCCAAAATATGTTTATCTACATTACTTATTTTGGAATGGTCATAGTCTTGACTCTTAAATGCATTGAATAGGATTGTCTACCAAATAAACTAAAAAGTAACACGACAGATACACCTAACAACAACGCGTCCCTCTCTCCAAGACTTAGAAAATTCACAAAAGACGACTCCACAAGTCACATCTCTAACTGAAAACTCGCCGCCGGAGCCATCATGTGCGACGGAGACTGCCGTCCTCTCGGTTTCCTCTTAGGTCTTCCCTTCGCCTTCCTCTCTCTTATTCTCTCCATCGTCGGTGTCGTTATCTGGATCGTCGGGTCAGTTCTCTCCTCCCTTAGTCTTTAATGTCGAAGTAATTGGACTTGGGAATCATCAATTTAGCTTCTGATTTTTGGTGAATTTGTTTGTTTGGCAGATTGTTGTTATCATGCATATGTCCATGTTGCTTGTGTGTGACTGTACTAGTGGAGATGGCAATTTGTTTGATTAAAGCCCCAATTCATGTTATGGAGTGGTTCATGTCCAAGATCCCTTGTTGAGATCTTCTTCTTCTTCTTCTTCCATGTACATAGTTAACTTCTCTTGTTAAATCTTTAGTATTGGATTTGCTTTTATGTTCTGCTGAAAAAGACTGAGATTTGGTGCTTCTGATTTGTGTGCAATAATTAGCATTTGTTCTTCTTTTACAAGTTTAATAACATCAAGTGTAGCTATTATATTCATGGGAATTTGCAATTGTTTTCTTCTTCTTCTTCTTGTTTGTTCTTTGACCTGTCACCATTTAGTTTCCATGTCCCATCATCACCTTGAACCATTCCTTTGTTCTCAAGAACCCACCAGTGTCCTGGTACTAAGTACTTATCTTCAAGAGCATCTAAACCTTTGTTGACCAGCGCAATATCGCGGTTTATCTCTAGTTTGAATTCTCCTTGATTGTGTTGTGTCCCTGCCACGCCGTGTAAGTAAGCCTCCAGGTTATGGAAATGTCCCAGGTTTAGAGATCGTTTTAGGTACTCTGATTTTAGTGTGTTGATTTGAAGCTCCTCGCCTACATCTGTGAACCTGAATACCGGGTAACGAGGAATGAGATCTGGGACGTTTGTTACTCTTAAGATGTGGAGGTGTTCGAGAGACTCTACGAGTCTTTTGAAGCTGCGGTCACCGATGCGGGGACTCCCGAAAGCAAAAACTGTGACACAGGACAGCCTGTGTTGTAGACTTGGTGTGATCTTAGGCCATTCGTTATGGAGAAAGTCTGCGGCGGATAGAATCGACATAACTGCGCCCAAGCTATGGCCTGTTAAGGTGATGGTAATGTCTTCGTCTTTGTACAATTCTAGCAACCTTTTAAGCTCTCCTTGAACCTGAAAACCAAAACAGAGCCAAACCAATGGATATAGAAGTAATAAACCAAAAAGTATAGGGATGTTAAGGAAGGTCAAAACTCCGCGGGGTGGCTTGACCAGGGTTTAGAAAACAGCCGTGTGTGTGCATCAAGCCTAAGTTAGCAACTAGCCAGGCATAGTCCATCAAGCCTATCATTTTTCTTTGTAACTTTTTAAGATTATCCACTGGTTATCCATAGTTGGCAGTTTGAAATAAGTGACGGATTCAAATTCTAAACTCTGAGCCAAAACCAGTCGGACTCAAAACAGACTGGGTTAATTATCCGGACTCAAACTGGCCAGGCCGACCTTTCACAACTCACAACAAGCATACATTCAGACGTGAAGTTAGTAAGGGATCAAGTTTTTTTGGAGAGACCTGTTCTTGTGCACTGGTCTTGTCAAAACGCGATCGCGGATCAGTGGATGTATAAAGAGACAGCCAACCATTGGCTATGCGAGGCTCGTCATTCGGGTTAGCTCGAGGGAAAACCGTAACAGCTGATTCAAGTGGGAAATCGAAATCGTTAGCCCACTCGTACAACTGAATGGTCCCTCTCCAAGCAACAACAATGTCCCTCCTCCCCAACAACTTCTTCCCTTCGTCTGTAGCCACCGCAATGTAGCCCAACCAGTTAGACTCTTTGTTCCATGCTTCCCTTGCCAATGATTTGATTATGAAACATTCTGGTAACCTTATCGACGAAGTTCCATATATGTACTTGGTCACCTCGTACCTGGATGATAACATTTTGTCACACGTTTCATATAGGAGTAGGCATGAAAACTAAACAAAATTTTCTAAAACCGAAACCGTATGAATGATATTAGTAGATACGTTTGTTACCTGAAAGGGTTGGCTTTGAGGTAACCGGTTCGAGCAAAGAGCTCTTCTTTAGTGTAGCAGCTATCTCCTACATATTTAGACCGGCGGTCACTATTAAAGGCAACGTACCCGACCTCAGCCATGTCACCATAGTGTAGGATATAACGACGTAGATCCAAGTCAAGAGGATCAAGCAGGTCTTTCCATTTGCTATTGCCGCTCAATTCTTTCCATCTCTTGGCGATGTCTCCTGCCATTTTCGCTTTTCTTCTGATCCAATCCTCCACCTCTTTGTGTCGTCCTAAAATTTGTTTGGAGTGTTCAAAGGTTTGGATAATGCGTGTAAGTATTGGTCCTTATGCCCTTCACACAAGTTTTGCTTGTTAATTAAAGACTTGAAAGTGTAAATACGCATGTTATATAGTTTGGAAAAGAAATAAAATTATAACAAATTTATGGAGAATTTAAGCTGATGTTGCATGTAAACTAGCAATAATGTTAATTACATTTTAAGATTAAATTAACAAAGGAAGAATATCAATCACAATCACACATGAATCTCACGGACTATTTATAAAATGGTAGAAAAAAATCAAATATGTAAAACGAGAACTAGGAAGTAAGAGATGCGTAGAGAAGTAAGTTCCAAGTATCAGGGAGTCCAGGGAGACACCAATGACTGCAGTCAAGATCCTTTGAGAGACCATTGTAGAGACTTGGATGTGCGTCTTTGCGATACTCCGAGAGGGTAGTGAGATCGAGAAGATGGACCGGCTTCTTGATACGGCTCAACACTTTGTTAACTACAACCCAACCTAAGGGCAATCCTCCCGGATATCTTTGTCCCATGAACGGCTGAGTTTGACCATTGCACGACTTCAATGGTTCGTTCCACGCTCTTCCGCTGTTTTGAAAGACAATCAATGTTTTGAAAATGTTTATGTCAAAATCCATCGGATTCCGATTCAAAACTTAATGGTAATAACTAGATTGACTCGTTTTCTTTTTAGATTGATGTCTCATTTTGGATTCCGTTATTTTAGATCAAGTGAGAGAGAGGGAGAGTAAAAGAAAACTTACTCATAGTGGACAGGAGAAACACCTTGAAAGAAGACTTTAGTGCGTGAAGGGACAATGTTAGTGTTAATCCAACGAGCCCATGTGTTAAGTCCTTTGTAATAAGCCACAAGCCTGTTCATGTCTTTGTACAATTGGGTTCCTTCCCTCATATAATCCCACCTGGTAAACCATTATTAAACAGTCAATAAAGAAGCAAACATAGTTAATGAAAAATATCAAAATAGAGACCCTTAGAGTTAAGTGAAGTGATCGTACGGCTGGAGTCCGGAGGTGTGAGTCCACCAGTGCCACGAGTTGAAGATAAGAACGTCCATGCCTAGCCAAGCATCGGCTTGTTTGATGGAGTCAAGCACAAGCACTCGTCCTGCCTTTTCTTGAACCACGTCTACTAGAAACTGTGTTCTATACAAATGTATCGTCACTCCATAATCCTGCCCATTTTTATTTGTTTAAAGAGATACTAATTAGTGACAAATATGGAGGTAAAACAAAAATTACTAACAATGCCATGGCATAATTATTAATCAGTCAATTTAATAATTTTTTGGTTTTACAGTCAATTTATATTTTAACAAGGCATTTCATCAAAAAGAAGAAAAGAAAAAAAGTTGATATTTGTGACTTTGTATGTATCTCATTCCTACGTGATTCAACATCAATATTGAGGAAATAAAATGCCAAAATATATAAATTGTAAATATTACTTCTCTTTTTATATAACGTTAAAATATTACTTTTTAAACATGTATATAGTATATTCATATATTCTATAATCATGCCTTCGATAATTTTATCAAACCAAAAGAGAGAAACACGTAAACCATTAGAGCATCTCCATCAGATAGAAACCCTCAAAGTTTCTCAAAAAAAAAAAAATTATTATTTTAAGATTGTAATTTTTTTTTCTTTTTTTTTATTAATTGGACCATTGGAACTATGACATGTGGCATGACATCAGAGAAACAGTTTCTCAAAATGTCTGTGCAGAGAAACAGTTTCTCAAAATGTCTCTTCTCTCTCTTCTTTTTATAATTTTTTATTAATAAATGTCTCTTCAAGACATCCTTGATGGAGATGCTCTTAATAAAAAAGCTAGCTAGTGATCAAAGTCAGCTCCAATGGAAGCACGACTTGTCACTGTTTAGTCACTGTATATATGTAATTATATATGGAGATCCCCAAAAAAAATTAATATTGAATAAAATAATTAGTTAAATTTCTGAATGTCCACTTGTTAATACACTGTGATTAGAAAACGACAATGAAGAAGAAGACATTGACCTAAGTAAGTGGTTATCAAAATCATTTTGTACATGGTGTCTTAATGATCTAATCTGTCGTTTATATTTGGTTCTATTATTGAAAACTCTCTGAGAACCTTATTTAATTACGACTCACGTCAAATATATACATCCGTATTTAAATTTTACAATTGTCTTGGCCACAAATTTAATATCCTTACAAGTTGCAAAAGTCTTATAAGTTTTAATGAAACCATATAGGATTATCTTAAACAACCCAATTTTAATTTTAAAACATTGATAACCATATTTCAGAAGATAAGTTAGATAGTGACGTTGTAGGAACTCTGTTTCAACATCAATTTGGAATAATTCGCAGTCATGTCTCATTGTCATCTACATTAGTATCATTTGTCATTCTTTTACATTTATTATTATATGACAACTGTTTGATCCATCGAACCCCAAAGGAAGTTTACATAACTACGTATCTGATCCTCATTTGACATAGCATTATCATATACTCAAAACCAAACGATAGAACCTAAAAGCATTAATATTAAAAAGTTAAAGATTGGAGTTCAATTGCCAGAAGCTATGACTCGTCGCATTAAAAGTTGGAAAACATAAACACTGTTTTATCAAAATGTTTTAATTTGGAGGTTTTTTCTGGGATTTTCCCAAACAAAAAACATATAAAATACTGTTCATAAGTTTATATATATTATTATTTTCACTTACCGTAAAATTTGTCCAAAGTAAATTTAGGTTTCACAAAATTTCAGAATTTAACAGACCTACATAGATGTTCGCTCACTGACACAGTGAGTTTTTAGTGAGTAATTTTTAAATAATTAGTTACACCATTTTAAAAACTATTAACTTAGAAAATGTGCTATTTTCGGTAATTTCTAACTAGATTGAAGATAAATCAGTAACTAGTAAGACAAAAGATTTGGCGATGACTGTACAATCGTCAATGATTATTTTTGTACAAATTAATAATTGGGAGATTGACACAAATAGCCCCAAAAAAGTTGTTTTTTCCAAAAATAGCACTTTATTTGAAAAGTTCCACAAATAGCACCATAAACTTCAATTAAACTTAATGAAAATATAAGATAGAAAATAAAAAAGAGAGCAAACACTAATCTAATATTAAATTGAATCAAAATTGTTTTAAATAGTGGAAATATATACCCTAATTTGGAAATAGGGAACCCAAATATAATACCACAAACTAATATTAAAATAAAAATCTCTTTTAAATGGTGAAAATATATACCCTAAATTGGAAATAGGGAACCCAAATATAATACCATAAACTAATATTAAAATGAATCAAAATCTCTTTTAAATGGTAGAAATATATACCCTAAATTGGAAATAGAGAACTCAAATATAATATTTTAAATTTATTTCTAATTTATTTTGTTGAATAGCTTTTATATAAAAGTTGTGGTATTATTGAAAAAAAAAAGCTAGTGATAAAATTTTTAGAACAAAAACACTAATAGTAAGTTAACTAGTGCTATTTTTGGAAGTTTATGGAGTGTGTGCTATTATTGTCAATAAAACTTGTTTTAGGGCCATTTTTAGGAATTTCTCTTAATAATTTAAGTAGGCTTCTACTTTCTAGTACTGGTGTTCGGTGGTCACTTGATAAAGCTAGGATCTTTTATATGATATCAAGAAATAATCATAAACACAAAATTTTTTTATCAAAGAATCAAAATAGAAACTTTTACTTTTAAGTGAAGTTATTGATATGTGAAAATAGAAACAAAAGTAGAGATATTATATAAATAAATGGAAAAAAAAATCAGAACCTGGAAAGTGAGGGAAGTGAGAGGTTGGCTTCGACGAAGAGAGTACTTAGCATTAGGGAGAGAAGCATGAAGCAAACAGGCCAACGATTCGAACATGTTAAGACTCAGTGAGTCACCCACCATCATTATCTTCTTCCCTCTCATTCTCCTCATAAAATTCACCCCATCGAATCTGTAAAGTCGTTTTTAAATTCCTAATGTATGTTAATACCTCATTTGAAAAACATATCTTATAAACTTAATAATTATGTTTCTTTGGACCCAATTCAAAACCAAGATATTCAACTTTCTGCATGATCAAGATACTAGTTAGACTTTTCATACTCGTTCATTTGATACTAAAAAGGTAAAATAAAAACGTTTTGGAACACGATAGAGGTTTAGGTCTCGATTGTTTGTTCGCGTTTGCGTTTATATATAGTGTCTATCTTTTGTTTTTAAATAAACTCCTAATCTTTACTATCTTCAAACAAAACTCCTTTTTAAAATTGTGAACGCAAACACCAACAAGCCTTTGTTTACATATTGCTAACGTATTTTATAAGAAAAAGAAAACAAAATATATTTTATACACAGACGCAAAAATTAGTGTTTGAGCTAATCAAAACCTTAATTAGCTTTTCTTCTAATTAACTATTTAAAACTCTAGTGGTTAATACTTAATAGTAATACATGTGGAAAAGTACCTGGGGAGAGGACAGGAGAAAGGCTGCCATCGGAAGTGTTGATAGTTAGTGTCGGGTCGACCCGCTTTCTGGCAGTTGAATTCGGAGTCGATGAAGGGACAAGTAAAAGCACTATAGAGAGGATATGTAGAATCATAGACCCATTTTCCTCTAGCCAAATTGCATCTTCCTTCACTCAACAAGCTTGTGCTGTTTTGTCCCAAGAAATGTTGTTGAGATTGTGCTAATAGTTCAGGAAATGAAGAGAAGAGTATGAGAGACAGAGAGGCTAAGTTGAGTTGGAAACAGAGTCCCATTTTGTTTTTGGGGTCACTAAGAAAGAATGATCAACTTATTCTTCAAGCCTCAAGCTTTTTATAGATTAAAACAAATGTCTTTGTATCTACAGTGAATTCTCTTGTTTACCTATCTTGTTATATTTTTGTATACAATATACATATTTATTTCGTGGACAATCATTAGGCTTAATACATACTTTAAGAGCTAATAAAGGTGATTTGGAGTCAATAAATTAATTAAAAAAACTTTTTATAAGCAAGTTAGTTCTATATATCGGAAATCAAAACTAAAATCGTATGCAGTTCCGCATGCACAAACTTTTTGATATATAGTATTAACTTAAAGTGGGTTAACAAATACTAAAACCTAACCCAAATAAAATTAAATTGAGTTTTCTCAAACAATATTTTTTAAGAACGAAGTTCTTTCAGGATAAACTAAAATTAATAATAAAAGATCATTTGAATTAAATCAAATTAAAAAAAATAGATATTCCTCCAAAAAGAGTAATCTATTTTTTTTTGTCAAAGCCAAAAGGAGTAATCTAGCTAATAAAATACTATAAAATAAGTCGAAATCAGTGTCACTACAAAATTCAGTTATTGGTTATCGACAACAAGATTAGTTTTAAAAATCAAGAGATCCATTTTATTTCACATCAATCATGTTTGTGTTTATCAATTTTCAAGAATCTTTTTTAGCGGTATATAATTTATCTGCGTAGCCATTGGTTTAACATGCATGTTGTAATATATTTATAAGAGAATGAAAAGACAAGGATGATGTATATACATAGCATAGGAGCAATTTGCACATGTTATGATGAGTTTTAGGGTGGCTTGCTTTTTCCAACTAGACCACCACTCACTCCCAAAACCTTACTTCTCTTTTAATTTTCTTCATTTTTATTTCTTTGTAAGTAAGTGTTCCCTAATATACACCTAACAAATGCTTTATTAATCTGTTGACTCTAATTTAGGTAATGCAATGAATCGAACCGTTTCAATTTTGACTACTTTCATACAAATTATCAATGTAGAAATAAAGGAACAAATAAAACTATTTATGCAAGTATTAACTCAATACTCATTTGGTTCATCTTCTTTATTCAAAATTGTTAATGATTATACCTTCATTGACAAGTTGTGATTAAAACTAGAAATTTCCATTAGCAATTATTCATTCATCAACAAATTCAATAATTACTTCAACGGTTGAGTTATTGATTATATAACAAAGATTATTATGTCTCTTTCCAACTCAAAAAAAAAAACACAAGAAAACTATATAGTAAAATCGTAAAATAGCTCAATAGGTAGAAGCTGAAGATGCTTTATAGGGGCTTATCGGATTCTGAACTCCTAGAAAATTATTTGCGAAAATGACTATAGTTTCCTTTTTGAAGAGATATATGGTTCAAATTGTCCCAAACATTGCGGATTGAAAATAAATAAAATTGAAAGAAAATAGAAATGATGTGGAGTGGTCCTATCTTTGGAACAAATTGGAAATGTAAAATAGACGAAACAAGAAAGCAATTATTACACAACCACCAAGGGAAAGACTTTTCTCCCACAAAAATATTCACATAATGCAAACAATTTATAAAAACATTTTCACTTGAAATTATAAAATAAAACAAAAATTTGATAAAGATAAGGGCCTTAAATATTATTATGTAACCAGAGGAAGAAGCCTTTTAAGCTGCTTCTGATCTTATGTTTTGCTTAATACATTCTTTTTGTACAAAGAGAGAGGAGAGCTATATTCTCTGTTACCATTTAACATTTTACAGAAGCTCCCATTCAGATTCTTCTGATGATTGGTTTTCCTCTAATGGTTTCGGATCATCGCCACATTCTCTTCCATTTTCAACATCTTCTGCATACCATTGCCGGGCAAGTCGCTTGTATTCTTTTTCTCTGTTTTGTTTCATTCTTGAAGATATAGCGTCTCGGATCTTCTGTAGAATCAGTTTATTATATAAGGCGGTGTTACTTTACACGTGCTTATAAGTGCAAATATGAAACAAATAAAAGATAAAGACAGACACAGAGAGAGAGAGAGAGAAGAAGAAACCTTGTAAGGTTTGTGTTTGTCATTCTCCATCTTGTCAGGAAACACACAATGAAATTCGTCTCTATCCACGAGTATACAGCTTTCTTCAACTGATCTTCCACTAAGATGTTTGAGAATCTCTGACTTCTGCTCTGAGACAGAACTCGAACTTGTTTTTGTATCCACATTGGTTTCCTTTCTGCAATCTGAATAGAAAAAAACCATAACCAAGATAAGTGAATTGCTTCAAATCATGAGCTAGTTTATCTCTTTTGCATTTCATTCTCAATGCAAGCAGCAAACACAATCATGAAACTAAACCATATGATACAGAACCTATAGGTTGTGGTACTCGATATGATGTACCAAGATCTAGTTTAAGAATTCATAGTTTCAAACAAATGAGTGTGAAAGAGAGAAAAATCAAAAAGCAGAAATGTTACCATCAGATCCTGCAGCTAAGCTAGCGGCAACAGATGGTTGAATCTCCGAATCTTGACTTCTAACAGAATTATCCGCCATAAGACCGTGTTCATTGTCGATTCTAATCTCTGATTCATTACTTTTAACAGAATTAACCACTATCAGGCTCTGTTGATTTTTGGTTCTATCGTCTTTCTGACATTCCTTTTTAGAGATGAGTTTTTCTACTTCACCTGGAGGAGAATCACTTGACTTTACAGTTCTGACATCATCTTTGATACGAGCACTATGAACCATTGATAAACTACTTGAGTTTACAGTTCCAACATCATCTTTGACACGAGCACTATGAACCATAGATAAACTACTTGAGTTTACAGTTCCAACATCATCTTTGACACGAGCACTATGAACCATTGATAAACTACTAGAGTCTTTCTGGATATAAGGCCTGGTGACTTGGGAAAGCTCCTCTTTTTTAAATATCTGTTTGCGGCCGACTCTTGTTCTTCTATATGGACCTCCATAACTATACTGCCTTGGAGACGTACAGATATCGTAATCATCTGCATCAAGACCACGAAATTTCTTTGCACATCCATCCTTCTTCCCTTCAGTTACCTCTTGTTCTTGTTTCACATCTCTAGTTTTTCGGTTCATACTATCTCTTTTCTTTTTGAAAGAACAAACAGGAGCGTATTCATGTAACATAGAAACGGGCAAAGGTTTTCCCGAATCTACAGAGTCATCAGGAAGCAAGTCTTGAACCACATCTGAACAGAATTTCTTGACACTGTTACCAACCGTCTGAACTTGATTCTCAACATATTTTGCTGTGTCCTAAAACCACAAAGAAGCAAACAAAGAGTTAAAACAAAATATACAATCGACGAGGTAAGCAATTACAAGTTCTTACACAAACAAAGCATTTACCTGCACAATAATTTCTTCAACCTCTAAGCACATTGCTTCAAACTTCTGATACACATTCCCAACCCATTTTATACCTTTAAAATCCATTATTTCTCCAAATCCAACAACGTTCTTGTGTTTGTTCTGCCACGGAAAAGAATGCCAACGAAAAGAAAACTCAGAGACAGATTAAACATATGCGGTTTCGTACACACAACATCAATTCTTTAGTTAGAGAGAAACAAGATTGCAAAACAACAGAAGCAGCTATATTCATAACAAAAGACAATTGCTTAGCCGTTACTCTAAATAGATTATCCAAGAGAACATGGCTAATGCAACTTCTAAGCAAAACCCTTTGCTTATGTATATCCCTTAATAACCAATTCCTAGGAGCCTTTTAGACGCTAACTTGTAACCAAAACAAATTCCTTAAGATATATAACACAAACATATCCTTTCTAAGATCTTTTGACTGCAGATATAAGTTATCTTTCTGTCTCACATGTTTCTATTGCTCTAAGAATTAAACATGTAGAAACCAGAAATAGAAAATGTCAACACCAAACTTAACCCATGGGAAAACAATCAACGATCATCGGACAAAACCAAAGTTCTACAGAGAGACTAAATTTAGAAAAATACCAAAATTCAAGTGTACAGATGCTTAAACTAACAGCTGATTGCTTCTTAAAATCAACTAGAGTCTTCAATTAACCAAACACAACAAAAGAACTAAAATTTAACAAACAAAAAAGCTGAAAATTGAAGGATTTAAGCTTGTGATAAACTTGCTAAAGGTACATACTTTATCACAAAAATCAACGAATTTTCGCAGAGAAAGAAGCATACTTACAAAACTTCGAAACCCAAAACGTGGGAAAAGAGAAATTTCACAACTCGAGCAAAAAAACGTGATCAGAAGAAAGAAGAAGAACAAAAACCCTAAAACCCGGAAAACCTCTTTCGCAATCAATCAGAAAAAAAGAAAAAAGGAATAAACTTTAGGGTAAGATAGAGAAGAAGAGAGACGGATCATTTACCTCAAAGCAACGTACGAATTCTGATTTCTCACTCGATTGAGAGAGAGTTTTCGTGAAAGAGAGTAAGTTATTACGATGAAGCAAGCAATGGCCAAAACAAAAACTTTTAACGAAACTCTCTCTCTTTTTATGTTTTTAACAGGAATAAATCCGCCGGGTTTGGGTTTGACCCACCCGGTTCGAGGCCCAGGAGTGCGTTGACAATTATTTTTACCAACTTTTATTTATGGGAATGTGTGAATATCTGCCTTTTTTAGTTTCGACACGTGGCACGCAAGTGGATTTGATTCTTGATGATTCTATTCCATTATTGGATTCATATGCAATCACAAACGGTTCATGATTATTATAGAAATAAACACGTACATGTTAAGTTTTGATAGATTTCTTTTCTGTTCAATTTTTTTCTTGGAGAGTTATGATTTTATGTAGGATTAATTAGAAGCGATTCAAGATTATTAATCAAGAGTAGAATGATTTTGGATTTTGAACATTAAGAAGACTTTTGATTATACTATATATACATTTTTGGTGAAGATTTGGCCTCAAAAATCCTTTTACAATTTTAATATTGTACATTTAGTCCCTACGAATAAAATCTGACAAAATATATGTCTTAATGAAATTTACAAATCAATTAATAAACTCTTCTAACAATTCCTATTTTTAAGCAAACGAGATTTGAGATCCTAACATATAGAAATCAAATATTCGAAATTAAAAGCTATTTGATACAATATTCTCGGTCATATCTAGGAGTATTAACCAACTAACCAAAAACTAATCCTAATAAAAGCTTTAATACCATTGCTTGATAATCCTCTTAAACGTATATTAAGATAATTTATGATATGGAAACTAATAAAACCTCCAAATCGTTTTAATATCTAAATTAGCATGCGATTTACAAAGCTATTAAACCTAATCAAATCTAAATTACCAAATATCTAATTAGAGAATATCTCAGCAATTTGAAATGCTCACAATCTACCTTAATCAACAAGAATCTTACCTTATTTTTCACTCAATTAAGATCCCGCGAATAGCTCTCCACAATCCTTTTCCAGCAACGACATTTATTCTTCTCAATCATTCAATGGTACCTGCATTCATTCCCGAGATTCGTTCCCTTGAATATCTCTCTGAAATCGACTTTAGCCAAGAAATTTATTGCTTCAATCTCACAATCACTCATAATCACGAATATTCCTTTTAAGTTGGGATCCAAAGATTTTATACCTAATTTTTTTCTCCTAACAATATTTTTTGCGTGATCACAACTCTACATGCTTAACCTAATTCATTTTACTATATATACACTCTCTTGCATAACAACTCTTACCATCGGCAACTCTTGATTTTTTTGGGGAAAAATATATTTCTTCTCTCTTTCTTTTTATCTTTTACGTCTCAAGGCTTTATTTCAAAAGAAGGTTTGTTTATATCATCTTACAAACTTTAATCTCACTCTTTGGCTTTGTTCAAAGCTAAAGTAGTTATGTCGGTTTGAGAAAAGATATTAACAACGACACAATGTTTGCTTTTGCAGATGATTTATTCAGGTTTTGGTTGCATTCAGTGTTGTATCAACGATACAACATTTGGTTCCACAGAAAAGAGACACTGAGGAGATGGGGGACGCGATGAAGTCCTTGGAGAACAGAACTTTGGATTCTAAAAAAGAAATGGACATTATAGCTGCACTTGATGAAATGAAATCAAATGAAGGTATGACACAGATGCCTTTTTGTATCTTCTCCTTCCTGGCTCTGTCCAATTCTTAATATGTTATTCTATTTCATGCTTCAATTACATGCTGACATAAGTGTTTTGAGTACTGATTTTCTTTTATTTTGATTTTTGTAGTCTAGACATACCATTGTGAGTGTAGGTTGCATTCAGTGTTGTATCAATGATACAGGTTTAAGGTTTGCCATTTCTGGCTCAGATTGTGTAGTTGAACTTGTGTAGGAAATCTATTCTTAACCTCTTTGTTGTGTAGTTGACACCTTATTTGTATTATCTGAATTTGCAGGGGACTTAGGAATATAACAAAAAAGCCAACTGCTCTCAATGGGAGTAATATTAGTCATACAGAAGTCTAATTACTTATAGAAGTTTCCTCATACACTCTATTGTGATTCAACTTTGTAAAGCTATTTTAATTACGTGTTTTGAATTAAAATTGATGTTTTTTGTTTTTATTTATGTAGGTGATAATTACTTGAAACCATATGTGAAATTCTTGGGCCGATCAGCGGGACAAAAATTAATCATCGGGAAAAACAAATGACGGCAGAGACGACGGTGGTGACGCTTTAGCGAAATATAAAGATAAAGTTGAGGCTGGATTAGGGAAAACGAAAAGTGACGGCAAGTTCTGGCTTAAAGAGATGAAGATATGAACGATTTTGGGTCTTAAATGAGTTAAAAAAAGTACAACAAAACTAAGAATTGATTGGTATCTTTGTTATTTGGATTTTAAATATTTGTCTTCTTCTTCTTTTTTTTGTAGACGAAATTTTTTGAATAGGTTCTTGCTTTATTCTTATTGATCGGAGATACTAAACACTTTTGAAAAAAATGATTTGGAATTGGTCATTGGTGTAATCTTTTTATTGTTCCATAGAATCGGGCTGAATTTTTGGTTTGTGAATTATTTTACAAATACTTTTTTTACTTTAATAAAAAGTTCAAAAAATCAAAAGAAAAAAAAGATGTATAATTTTCAGTTTAAACAAAGATCCCGTATCCATGAAAATGGGCTGAATTTTTGGTTTGTGAATAATTTTACAAATCCTTTTATTTAATTTAAGAAATATTTTGTCATACATATGAATATAAATAATACTACATTTAACTATAAGAGCTAAATTTATCAAAAACCATACACCACCAATCAGTTTTATATACTACTAAAATCATAAATTTATGAAGAACAAAATTAAAAAGTCAAAATTGTCCCACGGGTCAATATCTAAATGTGTAATTGAGTTACTAAAATACATATATTTTATGGATTAAATCTAACAATCCAAAAGTGTAATCATACATCTTTAATACGAAATAATATTTTTTTGTTAATGTTATATATACAAATTCAAAATATTATAAATATTTAAACTTTATTAAAATTTAAATATTGTAATTATGTAAGCTTTTTAAATTGTTAAACTTTATAAAATATTTTAAATATTTATAATATTAAATTTTGTATGAAGTTTCAAATATTATAAATATTTGAACTTTATATGAATTTATAAGAAGTTTAAACATTATAAATATTTATAAAAAAATATTAATACGGGATGGTATACTACGAGTGAAATCCTAGATATAACAATCAAAATACAATTATGAAGTTTGGATCGATAAAATATTATATATATTGGAACTTTATAAGAAAATGACAAAATAATGTTTAATTTCACGGGACGGCGTTATATGGTGAAATGGGTTATGGTCAATATTAATATGGGATGGTATACTACGTGTGAAATCCTATAATTAACAATCAAAATACACTTATACAATCTTAAACACTAAACAAAACAAATAATATTAACAAAACAAATACAACTTAATATTAACAAAACAAATACAACTTAAAACTTAAAATTTCATTTTTTTGTTATAAAATATCGTTCCGCGGTGTCCGCGGGTCAATCACTAGTGTTTTCATATTTAAGAATAGAAGTTACGTGATGACAAAAAATAATAATTAGAAGTTACGTTTTCAGACAAAACAAGGAGTTTAATTTGCTTATATTTAAACAGGATCCAATAAAAAATTGTGATCTTATTGGGCCCAATGAAATGGCCCACTTATAGTTCCGTACATGTTCGAATCACAAAACTAGTTATTATAAATTTAAATGATAAACTATATAACAGTTTATAAGTTTGTTGAAATATATATAACTGTTTTTTTTTTTTTTACTTTTCTTTATAAACTATCACACGCTTTTTATAAGGTTTCGATAATACTTTTTTTTTTCTCTTAATTCTTTTGTGTATTCTTTTAGCCTAGAATACTTTTCATATATAATAATATTTCTTAAGTTTTATCCTCCAACAATATTTTAAAAAAATATTAATAATTCCCTTTTAAAATTAATGTTATGGTGATTCAAGTACCTCTCATATTCTTTAAGAAAATTTGCATTAGTGAAAAAGCTAAACAAAAAGACTTAAAACTTATAAGAAGCACATGAAAAACCTAATAATTACAGTAATAGAAAAATAAAGAATAAAACGGTTGTTCCACTATTCTAACAATGAATCTAGAATGCTAAGATCAAAGCCAACAAGCTGAAGCCGATCCAAGAAGCTGATTTCGAGGCGCCGCTTTGAAGAGATGATGGAGCCATCTGATGCTGAGACTGTGGAGCGTTGGCTAGTGAAAGAGAATGTGATCGAACAGGTCCAGGAACCGGAGCAGCGACAGGACCCAACGAAGCCGGTAAGACATGGATTAGAAGCTTTTGCCCCATGTTGCAGTGACCAGGAACTCCGCATATGAAGTGTTGGAGTCCCGGTTTGGTTAGAATGATTGAGTCAGATCCGGTCTTGTATTTCTTAAGCGGTTTAGACGATTCACACAGCTCGAAATCATTGTGAGTGACTTCCGTGACGTCGTGGAAATCTTTGTTGTATGCGAAAACCAAGGAGTCTCCCACTTGAAAAGTTCTTGAAGAAGCCCAATCCTCGTAATCGACTCCCGCCATCGTCCATCCTTTAGTGTCACCGACTTTGTGAATGGTTCCTCCAACAGCAACACTAAAAAGAGCCACAAGAATCAACAAAGAAGTGAAAAATACAACGTTGTTCTTAATCAAAGCCATGATCGTGTTTTTTTTAGTTTTAGTTTTGGAACAAGAGAAAAGAGTTTGAGAGAGATTATTAATGGAAGTAATGAATTTGTTTTGTGAGAAATTTAGAAGGGACTAAACGTGTTTATATAGAGCCTAGGGTTCGGTTGAGGTATTCCTTTTCCTTTTGGGATTTGAAGATTTGGATAATTCCTAGTGCCTATTAATTCGTTTAGATATTTTCTTTCCTTTTTATTTTTGTTTATATATTTTCAACAATCGAATTCAAGGACGAAGTCGGCTTTCTCTCTCTTCTCTCTCTATATTTTTCAGAGAGAGAAAGCGATTCTCGGCACAAGCAAACTCGTTTCCGGCATCGACCGACTTCTTTTATCGGTGATGGCTGGCTCTCTTCCAGCATCAGCTTGCTTCTTTAGAGACGGTGGCTGGCTCTCTTCCAGCATCAGCTTGCTTCTTCAGAGGCGGTGGCTGGCTCCTTTCCAGCATCAGCTTGCTTCTTCAGAGGCGGTGGCTGGCTCCTTTCCAGCATCAGTTTGCTTCTTCAGCGGCGGTGGCTGGCTCCTTTCCAGCATTGTCGACTTCCATAGCGACGGTGGCTGGCTTTAGATTCCGGCGTGTTTGCCATCTTCTCCGGCATACTCGGCTGGCTTTGCTTGTACGGCTATCGGTTGCCGTATTTTATCTTTTTTTTGAATAAAGCGCTGCGATTCTTCTCAGGGATGTTTGCTTTGGCTCTTTTTCGGTTCGATCCGCCGCTGTTCACAAGTAATGTGTTTGGCTTTGGTGTTGCCGTTTGGGCGACTCATGGTAGTCTCCTCCATAAGAAATTTCAAATAGATCTGATCGAGATCTGTTTAGGTTTTGTTTTCTCAGTTCCGGACCCATGTCGTTTTCGTTCGACAAAACCGGCCCTGGCTCTTTTAGACGGTTTTAATTCACCTCAATCGAGGCTCCGTCATGCCATTTTAGGAAGCAAAAGTCTTAATTGCCGAAGTCTTTTTATTATCAAGTGGGGACAAGAAGACTTGAAGATCAATTCTAAAATTGACTGTTTCTTAGCGATTTCATCTTTTTCAAGTCTATGGAAAGCAATTTCGAGTGAAGGTTGTAAGAAATTTAGAGATTCCATAATCGTAGCTTTTAGTTTGTTTTTTCCCGTTTCCCTGATGCCGGATCTTGTCACCGGAATAAGGCTGTTGTTTCCCTGTTCTTGGGGATTCCTAAGTTTGTGGTTATCAGATTGTAAGATATTTGTTATAATAATATTATCCTTTAGAAAGAAAAAAAAAAAAAAAAAAAAAAAAAAAAAAAAAAAAAAAAAAAACAATCGAATTCCAAACGGCAATTCATTAGTGTTTATTGTAGCAGTACTATTGGGTCCGGTTTATTAATGGGCCGTCTCAATACAAATTATTTCGTAAGGGCAAATAATTAAAATAATAAACTACAGGGTGAATACCGTGAATTAAAAATGAAATGAACGATCATTATGTAAAATTAATGTTTTACTTCTGATTTCGTTTCAACGCATCAATAAGATTTTTATCAAAAACCAAACCAAACCAAAGCCATAGGGTTGTTGCTGTTCTGTTCCTATCGACCACGGCGGCGACGAGGCGGAGAAGACCGACACGACGGCGGAGAAGCCAGCTTCGAAACCCCTAGCATTTCTTTTAAAGCGAATTTCTTTAAAGGGTTTCGGCCATGGCTTCAATCTCGACTTGGTTCCGATACATGGCTCACAAGCTCGAGTATTCCCTCACTCTCAGTCTCAAGGTTTGCTTTCTTAGATTTCTCTTCATCGTCTCCGAATTTTGTAATCTGGGTATTGGTTTTGCGGAACTATTAATAATGCTCTTAGGGGAATTTGCGTTTCTTGAGCTCTGCATTCGAATCAATCTGTTCATGATTGAAGATAGAAGAACTATCTGGTTTTTTATGAAAAAGGTTGAAACTTTGATGTTGAGATTACTTCATGTTGGGATTTTTCAGTTTAATGTTGATAGCTTCTTGATTCTTGAATGCTTCTATTGAACCAATTCATATGGATCAAACTCACATTTACCAATACTCTCATGTTTGATGTTGTGTTATAACTTTTCGAGGAAGATTTTGAATGTTTTCCTTTAGTGTGCTCAATGTCTCATGATCACTCATTCACTCTTATGTTGATAACTGTTTTTAACAACTTTGTTTGTTATTGGAAACTTATGATTTGTGATGTGAACTCAATTTTGACAGAGTCATAGGAGTAAGAAACTGAGTGACCGGGAACTTATTCAAATAATTTGCAAGAATCTATTCTATGGGAAAATAACATACTTACACTCGGATAAAGGACCAGAAATGTCACCAACCATGACAGCAAATGAAAACACACTTCTTATTCGTAAGATACCAATTGCTAATACCAGGTATGTTTTCTTTTTTCTTACATTTAAGTGTCACTCTTTTTTTTTTGTTTGATTTCCAATCTTTGGTGTTTCAGTGTACGATTCTGTTACATCGCGATCATAGTTTGGTATTATCTCATAGCTATAGACTCACTGTACCAATTGCCTACTTTATATGACATAGATTTGATGTGATGGACTTGTGCATTGAATTAATTGAAATTTGAAACTAGTGTTTGTGGAAAATGTCACTATACTTTTGCCATTTCTTTGCATTTTTGTAAAGAATTTAACTACTTGGAATCCCCTTAGGATCCTTGTGTCCCCTTCACATGATTTATGAAACCCATTTGAATTCCATGCTTAAGGTTTGTATTCATTGGAGATGCTGTCGTCTTAAAGGACCCAAACGATTCAGATAAGTATCTGGTAAGAAGATTAGCAGCTGTAGAAGGATTCGAAATGGTATCGGGTGATGAAAAAGAAGAGCCTTTTGTTCTCGAAAAGGATCAGTGTTGGGTAACAGCTGAAAACCAGGAGCTCAAAGCTAAGGTACATACATCATTGAATGATCTTAATCAAAAATCCAACTATAGTCTATAGTCTCTTTCGGTTTACGTTTCCCTTGTGTGTGTGTGTTTTTAACAGGAAGCATATGATAGCAGAACATTTGGTCCAGTTTCAACAGCAGATATTGTTGGAAGAGCTATATATTGTCTGAGAACAGCCGTCGATCACGGTCCTGTTCGAAACAGGTAAAACAAAACTCTTTCTTGTCTCTTAAATTTGCATTTCAATGAGCTTTTTTTGTTTCTTACTCTAATATAATTCCTTTAATCAGTCACACTGCAATGGGTCAAGATTCTCCAATCCTGGCTGTAGAATTGGACGTGGACGAGATGGCTAAAAACCACAAGGCATAAAGAGACGCACTTTCTTGTGTTTGTTTATTGTCAAAGCTAAAATTGCCTCCTTTGATTCAGATTTGAGAAAACAATAAATCATTACAACAATGATACTAAAAATCCTAAATTTTACAGTCCAAAACTATGTTTGAAACCAGTTTGTTTGTAGACTGAAATGTATTCATGCACTAAATCTTGATGGAATGAAAAGTTTTGTTGCTAAATTATGAGACTGCCCAAAAAAAACTAAATTTTTTCGAAAAAACAATGAAAAAATGGTGGTTCAGGTGAGATCGAACCAGCGGGCCATAGTGGATCTGGGCGGCGCCGAACCGTGGTCCATCCACTGCTGTAAGCGGGAAGTAATCGCTGCTCTGTGAAACCAGCCTCCTTTGATTCAGATTTGAGAAAACAATAAATCATTACAACAATGATACTAAAAATCCTAAATTTTACAGTCCAAAACTATGTTTGAAACCAGTTTGTTTGTAGACTGAAATGTATTCATGCACTAAATCTTGATGGAATGAAAAGTTTTGTTGCTAAATTATGAGACTGCCCAAAAATAACTAAATTTTTTCGAAAAAACAATGAAAAAATGGTGGTTCAGGTGAGATCGAACCAGCGGGCCATAGTGGATCTGGGCGGCGCCGAACCGTGGTCCGTCCACTGCTGTAAGCGGGAAGTAATCGCTGCTCTGTGAAACCAGCCTCACGCATTACCCTCCGACTTTAGAACCCGCTTGAGCCAAGCCTTCGCAAGACCCACACGGATTACTCACAGCTTGGACTGGGCAGCCCAGAAACTTGCCAACACCAGATCCGACCCGTGGACTCGAACCAATGTTCCACCACCTTATTGTCCCCACTCGGGTCACAAGCTCTCGTTACTTAGCTCGACGGTACATTGTTGTGTTCTTCTGATATATAAACAAACGCAAAATAGTTTGAGTTTCCGATGTGGGACAAAAGACTTTCATTAGTTTTGACATGAATTTTCTTTCTATATGGGCTTAAGCCTTAATTGTTTAGGCCCATTATAGACTGATGAAAGGCCCGATAGTGTTTTTTTAGAGCTCTAAAAAATGAAGAGACAGATTTGAGATAGGAGAGGGGAAAGCAAATGCAAGAAGAAGAAGAAGAAGAAGCTAAACCTCTCTCTGCATCTGTAAATGGCGTTTTCAGGAACTTTGCAGCTGACTTCTGACTACGTTCCTGGTAAATTCTTATTCTTTCTCTCTCTTATAGTCAGAATTGTGTTGTTAGTATCTCTGTTCTTCTTCTTCATCGGATAATTTATATGAACGGGTACTGATTCTTCAGTTGTTTATGCTTCTTCTACTGAAACGAGAAACGTTTTGCAGAAAATGTGTGTATTGGAAAGAAGAAAAACAAATCTCTCGTTTTTCATATTGAGTATTATTTGGATAAGCTCTTGTTCAATGTTTTTGAATAGTTTTCTAGGTTTTCTCTTGTGGGTTTTTTTTTTTTTTTGGAATGTCCACCACTCGTTCGATGAAATGACTCTGTGAGGTTGGTAATTGGTAGACGTTGGTTTATTCGTTTTTCACGGTGTTGTTTACTCGCCTCTATGGATAACTAAATTGCATTTGTTTTTTTGTAAAAAAAATCAGCCCAATAAAAAAAATTGTGTTGCTTGTGCTATATTTTTAGAACTCATTTTCTACATTGCAAATAACAGAAGGATTTTTAGCCACCAAGATTATGTTAGGTAGTGTGATATACGTAGTGTCTAATATCAAAGTTCTAATCTTTAGAATAATTTGCTGTGTTAAGCTGGTTACTTATGTGACATTTGATTAATATCTAAGGAAATGTTGGGAATTTGATTGAATATATGTGTATGCCCTGGAGATGATTGGGAAGCTATTTCGGTGTAGGACTTACTTGATTTTCTTTAATTCACACGTAATTCCCTAGCATTGACTCGATGAATTAAGGTTTTGATATATGTTAGAAGTTGGATCCGATATAAATACTGCTGTTTGCTTTTCGTTCATCACGTTATTTTTCTTAAGGGTTCAGATTTTCAATTTTGCGCGATGCGTCATTAGGAAGTGAATTTTATGATTTTGTTAAGCTTCAGTTCAGTTGTTATTGTATCGAAATGTTCAAAACTCTTTATCATCTGGTATCTGTTTCTGATTATACTCTGGAGTCATTAGTTATATATGTATCGGTTTGACTTACTCTTTATGGTATTGATTTGCTAAATGCAGGTTATGGAGCTTCAGATAGCAGGAGCTTCTCTAAATCTACTGTTTCAAGAAGAACCCTCGCCGTATTGCCTTGCTCTTCCTGTCGAATTAACAAACTATGCATTGAGAATGGACATCTAAAATCTGCTACTAACAAAACTTCCTTTGTGTGCCGAGCAAGTTCTTCAGGCCATAGGAGAAATAATCCTGATTTCTCAAGAAACAATAAGCATGGTTTCCGAGGCAGAAACAGACGAAACGAAGATAGGGATGGTTTAGTAGATGGTGGTCTCGAAGACGACATTTTGTCTTCCAAAAACGGTCCTATACTCTCGCTATCCAGTTCCCCGAAATTCCAGGCTACTTCATCACCTGGACCGAAAGAGAAAGAGATAGTGGAGCTTTTCAGGAAAGTTCAAGCTCAGCTCCGGGCTCGAGCTGCTGCTAAGAAAGAAGAAAAGAAGACTGAAGAAGCTTCTAAAGGACAAGGAGGAAAAGATAGCGAGACAGTGGACTCCCTTCTTAAGTTACTGAGGAAGCACTCAGGAGAACAAAGCAAAAAACAAGTTAGCAATTTTAATCCTGAAAAGCAGCTACAAAGAGATGATGATGCTTCAGAAAGACAAGATCACAGTTCCAATCGTTTTGATTCGCAAAACAAAGATCATAATGCAACACCCTTTACCAGGCCAGCATCAAGCTTCAGACGCAATTCGCCTGTACCAAGACATAAATCCCAAGCCAGTTATTCTAGTGAGGCCATTTTTGATCAAGCTTCAAGTTACAGTGTGACTTGGACCCAGAAAAAGGATCAAGTAGAGCTGCGTGATGAACCTGAATACGAGCCTGAGCCTGAGTCTGCAGCTGAGTATGATGAACCTGAGCCTGAGTCTGCAGCTGAGTATGATGAACCTGAACCTGAGGCTGAGTATGAATCTGAATCTGAACCAGGACTTGCTATTCTAGATGCAGTGTCAGAGCTGAAACCAGAATCGTTTTACCAAGAGGAGGATGAAGATGAGGAGGAGGATCATGATGTCGTTGTAGATGAGTTATCAGATGATGACGAGTCTCTCAATACCGAGGAAGAAACTGCGAAAGATGAAGATTTGAGTGCACTGAAGTTGGTAGAACTTAGAGCCATAGCAAAAACAAGAGGACTTAAAGGGATTTCAAAGATGAAAAAAGCTGATCTACTGAATTTATTGGGTAGTAATAATAAAGCATGATGATCAGATTTAACATGAATCAGATTGAACATTGCTTTAGTTTTTGATACAGCTAATGAATCTCCAAATATTTGTTTCATTCATAATCTTCATGCATTATGACATATTATTTAATTTTTAAGTTTTCTCTTCTGCATTTTAAAGCAAAATTCAAAGAAACAAAATTCTTCTTTTGTGTGTGTATCCTCATTTAGTATGCAGATTTTTCTTTTGTCTTCTGGACTTTTATTACAAGCATAATCAACTTGATTAGCGGGTAATTTAAAATCATAATTGAACTAATCATTTTAAGTTTCTTAAAAAATCAAAAGAAATTGGAAAAGGGTTTAACTTTTTTTAAGATAAAGACAGGAGAGGACTAGAGAAAAGAAGATAAAGAAATGTGGAAGCGTTTTGTTCCCTGCCCGTCTGCCCGAACTTCCATTTTAAGTTTATGCCCTGAATCCTGATTAAGTAATTAGTGAACTTCTAGATTTCACCAATTCTCTAATAAACACTTTTACTAAATTAAAGTTTTGCTGCGTCGTAATTAAGCAGAATGATTAACAAAGAGAATGGTATTTGTTATCTTATTTGATGAGCGTGATATTAGAGATGGAATCCACTATTATAATTAATTACACTAACATTAGCCTACGTAAACTAGTCATTCTCCTTCAAAATATCGTATACTTTCATTTGAAACAATGTTATTATGATTCATGAACTTGTATAAATGTTTTCATATATATCCAAGGGAATTGAAAATTAATGTGGCATTAAATTGAGTGCATGTTTCTCTAGAAACAAAACTCAAAGTGACACGAGGTCGGTGTAAATTTGTTTGTGTGTTGTGAAATTAAAGTTACTGTCCTCATTTAGTAATGTGACATTGACTGATGTCAGGCCCCATCTCTAGTTTTGTCCTTTTTTTTTTAATATTGCCACTCCTTTTTTGTACATTCAAAAGTATTTTTGTTTGATTATTCTCTTTTCTTTTTTTTTTCGATTTTTGTTCATACCCTTCATATACCTCGAAGTGCGGCAAATTACCTAAAATATTAAAATACATGTATCTCAGATTACATGTACAATATTCGATCAAACATATGTATATTGAAAGAATTTTTTTTAAGAGATTCATAGAATACTTGTTAATTTATAGGTTTTATACAAAACACAAATAAAACTATTATTGTAGAGCAAATCAGTAAATTTAAATACCCTAAAATTTACGCCGGATCAAGTTTTCGAAAGAAGCAACGGACAGAACGACATAATTGTCGCAAATGGCTGGATTTTCCTGTTGAGAAAGAGATGGCTTTAAAGATTTTTAACGCTCTCAAGTCTCAACACATGAAAATTGTGCATGTGCACGCAAAACATTGACGCCATCAACGTATTGAGAATATACATAGGTGATGGTACTTAATTAGTTTAATAATAGCTTTATAACTCCCAACTTCGTCAGGCAAATGTTGAGAGTACACTGGTAACTTAAAAATTCGTCGATATTTACAAAAGCAATGTTACGAAGTTCGAGCCACTGCTAGTACCTAGCTAATTGCAATATGTGTCGTGTTCAATGATAAACAGTTGAGGAAAGTTAGTGTTTTATCATAGTATAATGTTTAGAAATGATGTAGTACATAACTCTATTTAGGGGGTTTATGTAAACGAGGAATGATTTTGTAGTTTAGTATGATCTAGCCAGAATATTTTGTCTTTTTGTGATAAAATTTGTGGAGCAACTCGAAAATGTTAACCTAATGGCAGAGAGGTCATTTACATTTTCTATGTACTTAAAATGTAAACTAATTTTCTTTAGCATAACTCGGATTTGAGAACAAAAATTCAATCTCGTAAAAAACCATACGCTCAACGAAATGAACTCTCTATATACTTCATATTAATATTAATACTAAATGTGATAGTTTTTGATACTTCATATTAATGTTGAATATCAGTATTCTCTAGCTAGTGTCGATAGTTCGTACTACTGCATGTCACTCAAATGAAAAATCTTTAAATTCGTTTTGAGTTTGACACCTACGCCATAGAAAACACTGAAATATACATTTAAGTTATTATGATCTCCAGTTCAAGAATTATGAACATAGATCCAAAATATTTTGGTTAATAGAAAAGATAGAATTTCCTCCCACGAAATTACATAGAAGTGAAAAAAACGAAACTCTAGTCTTCGCAGTGTTAAAACAAAAAAAAAAATAGGTAAATTTAATGAAAGGGAAGACAAGCCTGTGTGTGGTCTATATCTTTCGTCTTGGCTCAATATTTTTTACCATTTTCAGGCAACATGGTCTAAATAGTTTGTTTTTTTTTGTCGGACAAAATAAAAATATTATAGATAAAAAGATCTTTTGTACAATGGTCCGAAGAAAAGCCCTTCTCAGAATCTCATATATGTCCAAGGGAGAAGAATTGAGGGCTATTTTTGTAAAATAACAAGGAACTGTCAATCAGTTCTACAGTAGAAATAGAAATATATTGTTAAAATATTTTTCCATCTTTTTCAAACTTTTGGCTGCCTTTGTCCACACCTAAATGCCTAACTCCTTTTCTTCTTTTTTCTAGCGACAGAAATTTATTTCATTGAAAAAATAGCGAGAGAAGAAGAGTAAGAAGACATCCAAACTTACAAGTCTTTATCAATAATGAAGCCAAAGATTCAAAGAAAAGTATACGTTCATTTATTTATTTCTTAAAAACCTACAATCATTTTTCTCCCTAATCCACCAATTAAGTGATGAGAGTATGTAAGATAAATACACACGCTAAAGCGACAATACTAATCCGATACTCCAAGAGTTACAAGATAGTTGGAATTTACACCGAATATATATATAGCGGAAGCAATATAAGAATTCAACTTAGAGAAACTAAAATATGATGGACGTGAATGAACGATTGTTTGTTTGAGGATTTTTCAAATAAAACGAGTGAGAGTCAGAAGCTATAATTTAATTAAGTATCTCAAAACAATTGTTAGTACACCCTAAACATAAATAAACCTTATTTATAAGAAAATCTAAAAACCCAACGTAATTTAAATGTATTATAATGTATACCTATTAAAAAAAATGATACGTATAATAGTTGTATATTTTATCCAAAAAAAAGAGTTTAATATAGTTGTGTAAAAACCTTTTCAGGAACGTTCGTTTAGTATTGTCCCAAAAAGGCTATTTAGTTCATCCAACATTAACTTCGAAATATTACGTTCAAAACACCAAACCCGGTTATATGAAATGGAGACAAAACAAACAATGGATACAAAAGAGTAAATATATGAAAACTATAGTCCACTTATCTCAAGTAATATAAAAAAAAAACAAAACAAAGGGGAAAAAACCCGAAAAAGTTTATAAGATTTTTTCTAATTATAATAATGTTATCAATAAATCAATTAATACGCAAAATATATATCTGCACAAAGTAATATCTCCCAACCGCACAAACAAAATTTCAGCTCCTCCATATCCATCAAGAAAGATCAAGAATCAAGAATCAAGAACAAGAACTAATCTATATCATCGATCCATTAAAAATGGATATGATTCCCCAATTGATGGAAGGCTCTTCAGCTTACGGTGTCTCAAACCTCAACATCATCTCAAACAACTCCTCTTCCATCACCGGAGCCACCGCAGGTGAAGCAACACAACCACCGTCTTCTTCCTCCTCACCATCGGCGAACTCAAGCCGTTACGAGAACCAGAAGAGGAGAGACTGGAACACGTTCGGACAGTACTTAAGGAACCATCGGCCACCGCTTTCTCTTTCCCGATGCAGTGGAGCTCACGTGCTCGAGTTCCTCCGTTACTTGGACCAGTTCGGTAAGACAAAAGTCCACACGAACGTTTGTCACTTCTACGGCCATCCTAATCCTCCGGCACCGTGTCCTTGTCCTCTCCGACAAGCTTGGGGAAGTCTTGACGCTCTCATCGGTCGTCTTCGAGCTGCCTTTGAAGAAAACGGAGGCAAGCCTGAGACGAATCCTTTTGGAGCTCGTGCCGTTAGGCTTTATCTAAGGGAAGTTAGAGATATGCAGAGCAAAGCTAGAGGTGTTAGCTACGAGAAGAAGAAGCGAAAGCGTCCTCTTCTTCCGTCGTCGGCTTCTTCTTCCTCCGCCGTAGCTAGCCACCAGCAATTTCAAATGCTACCGAGTACTACTTCTACTACTCAATTAAAGTTTGAGAAGTAAGTAATTATATAATTAAGAGAAATGAAGTATTTTATGTAATCTAAAATGTGAATTGGTCTCTTTCTTATATGTTGATTTTAATTTTAGGTTATGTGGTTCAGTTTTAGAAGAACTAAAGGTTCTTTTGTTACTAGTGTATGTTGGGGGAAGGAAGGTAGGGTTTTCAATTTTTATTTTTATCTAATAAAAGAGAAATTCACATGTATTAATGTGTGTATATATACAAATATAGATATGAGTACCTATGTATCATTACTATCATCATCATAGTTTATATTGGTCCTCTTTTTTTCTAAAACAGAGAGGTCTTAGGTTTACTTTAAATCGTTTTATGGAGTATGATGATGATACTAGAAGCTAGAATAGTATTATTGATTTTCTTCTTTTGATGCAATACAGTAGTCGTTTTCTAAAAGTGACAGTGAACTAATAGTGGTCTTATAGTAGTTGACAGTGATTGCACTAACTATTTTAAATTCATGAAAATTTTCCATGTTCCAAATTGCCCCAAAGATTTACTGAATTCGTTCCCACTCACTAATATTCACATGCATACGTGGCATGCTTCAGTAAATATGCTGTCGTATTTTTGTTTCTTCTCCAAATTCATTTTGTTGTTCATGTTTAAGTTGGTTTCATATGTTTTTTTTTTTTTTTTTTTTTTTTTCTTTCCAACTGCTTATATTAATTATCCCAAATGGGCTTAACGATGGAGGGTATTACACGGGCCCATCGGCCCAAAAAGGAAGAAGCAAACCGAAACAGCACCAGATCGGAGATCTGCCCCGGGTGGAATTCGGCAGCACCGGCACCACCTCCAAGCTCCGGCGATAACAAGAGGCCCTTCTTTGCTACTCCGCAGTGACTCAAGCGACATGGCCGGAGTTATCGATTCCCGCCACAAACCCGAAGTCAACGACGGAGCCGACCTAAAACTCCTCTCCCGGAAAAGATAATAGCCATAGACGACCGACCCGCTTAATCTAGTCCCGACCTAGCAACCAGAAACCTAGAACGAACCCTCACCTCCGGCGCCGTTCCCGACACAAGTTTCCTCCGTGACAGTAAACATGGTTTCATATGTTTACTTGTGAGTAATATGTTCTCTTACAGTATTATTACAAAAAGAAAACAAAAATAGTTCCGTAAATTCTCCACTTTTATGTTTCTTAGTACATATTTTTTACTCAAGTGCGTGTCTCGACTTTTGCATTCTAGATTGTATGTAGATATGGCGATTCATGATTGATACCGTTGTATTTTGATTATGGCAATTCTATGTGATATAGATTTTGTGCCACTAATAGCCAATTATAGGAACGAGATATCTAACTCATTGTTATAACTACGGTTCTCACTAACATATATATATGACATGACACCCTTGTGAAGGAGGAAAGACTAATTTTATGTGATGATCTTTATATTCTTAATTACATACCATATTAAGAAATATAATTTATTATTGATGAATGACCTACTTATATTTTTGCACAAATACTAGATATACATAATATTCAAAAGACCATGACATTAGTATAGTGATTTATACTATTATCATCAATTTTTTATATCATCATTGTTTACCACATGTTATTAACAATGCTGTCAAAAAAAAAAAAAACTCGTCATAGTTATCAACTCAATGCTGTCAAAAAAAAAAAAAATCAACTCAATTGATTATGGAGTTAAGTTGCCTAATAAGGAAATATTGCCTCATGATTGCTAGCTGCAATTGTTTTTTTTTTTTGAATGAATCCAAGCATAATGTGTAAAATTGTGTCTTTAGATCTTTAAAATGACAGATCTAAATTTTTTAAGGTAAAATAACAAAATGAACAAATGCTATTTGAAGAAAAATGACTTTTTCCTAATTAATTCTGCTAGCTGCAATTCTGAAACATGAAAGATGGAATTAATCTCTAGTAGTTGCCGATTTGATGTCAACTCTTTCTAATAATAGCAATGCGGCTTGATTTTGATTAGTAATTGTAATCCTACGAATAGCGGAATTATAAATACATGCTTCCGTATGTCTTAACCAAATTTTATTTTATTTTTGTTATGCTATTTTAATGACGATACATAGAATATATTTTTCAAAAATTGAATGTCTATGTTTGCTTATGATCTTGTTCTTCCATTATGCAAGTTGCACCGTTATTTTCACTTATTAGTTGTGTTGTCAATTAAACTTATTAATAAATAAGGTTCATAATCATATTGTGAGATAAATATTTGTAAATTGTGAAAATAATAGATCTCTTAAAATGTTGTATTTGTGGCTGCTAAAGTGAGATGGTTTCTTGAAACTGTATTTTTGCTATAGAGAGAGAAAGAAAACATCATTTTTCAGTAAATATTTTTGCTGGTTTTTTGCGGGTATCTGATTTTTTGGGGAGTCATTTTCATAAAATAAATGAACTTATTTAATATTTTAAATAAAACTAAATTTGAAAACGACAAATACAACTTGGAAAAGTTTTGATTGGACATATTTTTATCTCATTGGTTATAAGTTTTAATTAATATAATAGTTTAGATAGCGTCACAACAATAGGTCCGGCGGATGAAACAATCTTTGTCAAATTTGATAATCAAACAACATATGTTATAACATTTTTTTAGTACCTTAAACTTAGACCATATATGTGAATACTTTTGCTATCTTGATATCCTCATTTTGTGTACAGAAACGAAACACTAAAATCTCTTTTAAAATAATAGTTATTTTGGTACATTGTGTAGTGTTGCATCATTCATGAGTGTGTTAAGAGGTAGAGCCAGAGTTCTGTCTCTCACTTGTCTTGTCTCTGTAAGTTGTTTCTCGCAGAGCACTCAAAGACCCCAACCCTTCAACTTTTATTGAGTCTTGTCCATTTCTGAATATCTTTCCACATATTGTAAAATTCATTTGACAAGATAAAACAATTCTGTAGTTCTACATTTCAATTCGCCTAACGTTTTGAAACCCAAAGTTTCAGGATGAATTGAAAATGACTGGAGTGTTTTATCTCTTTTATACGATATTATTTATTTTATATCTTTCAATTATACTGTACTTTTCTATGTGAAAATCCTAACATATGTTTTATATTAGAAAATGATTTGACTCCTTTAATTTTTCAAATATATAGTATTAAAGTTCATGAATTTTCATGTTTACGAACAAATATTTTTGAATTGTCATCTGAATGTATATTGAAAAGAAAACAAAATCATGTACATCAGATTAAATTTTACACTTAATTAACCATGTGAAGAATTCTAACATTGTCTATGTTCTTCTTTTATGTCAACAATGTATTATGCAAATTTAAACTTGGATAGTCATGCAGTTAACACTAAATATTTTTGGAAAATATTCAACAAGAACTACCGTATCAAATTAAGTTTCATCTTTCATTTTTTTCACATTAAAAAGATTTCGAGACATTCTGTTATTTATTTGGTTAAGATTAAAACCAACGGTCAATAAAAACCTAATCATATTTGTTTTGGTCACTATTCCTTTTAGACCCGACCGACAATATTATCGAAATTTTGACAGTCTATACAAGGTTTCTATTTTGAGCTAAAACAATGTTCTTGCACATTTTTTTATGCATGACTCGAAAATAATAGTGCCATAATGCCACAATGGCTCTAATGTGATCGACAAGTATCTATATATAACCATCACTAATAAAGTATTATCATTTACGAGAATTTTCTCCAAACAATAATACTCAATTATGAGAATATATATGTTGATTGGAAGTGGACAGTAGGATTTGGCCTTTCGACTTTAGATATGGAATCATGGCCTTTCCATATATGGTTAGAACAACAGAAAGACCTTTCAAGAATCAACATCCATTTATTATTCAGATTTACATAAGTTACATCATAATTATTCACATTTTTGGATTGATACGAATATTTCATTTAAAGGAAGAAAGAAAGAAAAATTGAGGCGACAATCGACATTGAAACGAGGGACCCCGAATTTTCCAAATGATTCTCTTGTTTCATCATTACCCACCCAAACCTATATTTAGTGAAACCCTTGTGAGACTCCACCACATGCTTTACTCCAAAAATTAACATCTCTTTGCTTCTATAAGTCAAAAACAAGATTTGAAATTATTTTTTTTTGTCAACAACAAGATTTGAAAAATAAAAATTGGAAAATTATAAAATCTCCATTTTCCTTTATTTCTAAAAGTTATAATAATAACCTAACTAAATCGAAATCAAATGAACCAATCGGATCTTAGTTCGGTTCAAACAATTCAATTTTTCTGAAAAAATATTTGTATTTATACTTGAATATAAAAAAATACGTATCTCAAATAATCTCTTAAAAATTTACAATCACAAATGCTAGAAAATACAAATCTAAATGTACTAAAACCAATAACCTTTTTGATAAAGTAGACAATCAACTTCCTCTGATTATTGAGCGTAGCCATTGTATAACAATTTTACTGAACTTGAACACAAAAATGAATAATACAAGAATCCAATGTTACTCTGTAATGTACTAGTCGAATTGAACAAAAATGATACAAAAATACTATGAACCACTAAAAAAAAAGAAGAATAGAGATTATAGTATAGGATTAAAACAAACTCAAGGTGTAGTAGTTACAGCTTCTTGAAGGGCAAGAGGAATGGCTGGTCTCCAAGTTGTTCCCTCAGGACTATCCATCAAAGCGATCCCAACACTTGCCAAATCTTTCCTAATTGCATCAGATCTTTCGTATTCTTTATTTTTCCTTGCGTCTGTTCTCTCTTGCACTCTCTGCAACACATCTTCCTCTTCTAGTCCAGCTCGCTTTAGTGCTTTCTCTTTTAGCTGCTCAAGAACCTACGGATTGGAGCAAATGGAACAGTTTAATACCAAACAAAAAAGTGGAGCAAAAGAGTAAAAGGGTATGGTCATGGCCCAACTAGCTCGGGGCGGGTTTAGGCTTTATATGAGCCGAGAAATTTGGAAGCTGTACCTCTGAGTAACTTGTGGGCATAAGCCCTAAGATAGTAAGAACATCTCTGATTGTTGTCTCCAGAGCCTTAAGTGACTCTTCTCTTCTTGCTTGCTTTTTTCCCTGGAATCAGAATGATGAAACTATATCATGAATTGGTTTTCGAGACATACATATGAACGTAAAAGCAGGTGTTATTTACCTTTCGGGTGTGAATGAGATCGTTGATAGTTTT